GAGCACTGGCCTTTTAGCAAGGGTTGCACTGGTGATGTGGGTGAAATCCCACTGGTTCAGGTCCAGGTGGAAGGAAAACAGCAAAAGTATCAGGGAAGGCACCCATCTGGGGTATCAAGAGGGTACACTGGGCTGGAACACTACCTGTGATAGGTTTCTCAAGACCAGAGTGAGGTTTGGTGGATGGCAGGAACAGGAAAAGGAAGAGCCCCTCCCCCTGGGCAATGAAGTAGTAAAATCAGAAAGACAAGTAACAATAGCAAAAACAGTAATAATACTGAACACTTAGGTTGTCTTTTAAGCACTTTGCATAAACTGAAGCATAGATAGGTTAAGTAACTTAGTCACACGCCTGATAAGTGCAAGGAATGGGTTTTAGTGAAATGTCTTTTAACTGTTTCACTTAGTAGAAACCCCAGAGAACATTTCAAAGCAAAATTTCATCTAAGTTGAGTCTACTTTGATTTAAGGCAATCACTGTTATACTTGACATTTCCCCAGCAGTTCATAGTTTACAAAGGGTTTTACATCCATTATTCTGTAATCTCAGTCCTGCCACTTACTTGCTGTGTGACTTCAGGCCAGTTACTGGCGAGGGGCTAAATTTTCCTTTTCTCATCTATAAATTGGGGACAATAATTATACTTGTTGGGATGATTAAAGAAGAGAATGCATATACAGGGTTTAGCCTGGTGCCCAATCCAAAATAATCACTCAACAAGTGTTTGCTACGATTATTGTTATCAATCAGTCTTATTAATTTTCCACTTGAGCTTCATAACAACGCTGTGAGATGGGGTAGGATTTATTATTCTCATGGGGAAGCCAAAACTCACAGATGGCATATAAACAGCCTCAGGAAATAGCCAGAAAGGGGAAAGGCCAAACTTGGAAAATCTTCTAATTCCAAACCTCCTCCTTCCTCCTAACCCTCAACTCCCCCACCTCTCTTTTCCCCTGGGGACATTGTTTTTTGAACCAGATCATTCCTCACACAGGACTGTGGGAAAGTTTGAAGAAAATGGAAGTCCAGGCTCTGAGGAGTACTGAGAAAATCTTAAAGGTGAAGACAGGCTTCTGTTTAGGGACATAGGGGTAGCACCTTTCCTCCTTTGCAAACAACTGCCAGGGGCAGAGGGACTGCAGGTACGTACTGTGGTGAACTGTGCTAACTCACCTCCAGCACTGACGTTCCGGCCATGGGAGGGAGCAGCAGTCCTCGGGCCCGCGAGTAAGGGACACCGGTGTTTTCATCTCACAGGTAAACAGAAGAGTGTTTTAAAATACTGCTGAAATAATCAAACACCACTTTAAGACTGGATTTCACTTCTTTGTTGGCTTTCTGTGATTCTGCATTTCAACGAACTCATTTAAGTTGTCTGTGAGTGTCTCCTGTTCTACTGCAGATCACTGGGTGGCACATATGGTTTGCTCTCAGCTATTAATCTAAAAGTTGGTGGTCTGAACCCACCAGTGGTGCCACGGAAGAAAGGCTTAGATATCCATAAAGATTCCAGCCAAGAAAACCCTATGGGGCAGTTCTGCTCTGCAACATGGGGGTCTCCGTGAGTCAGAATCGACTCCACAGCAATGGGTTATGGGCTCTAGGGCACGGTCCTGTGGCTAGAGGAAAAAGACTGCTCAGTGATAAAGTTAGTCCATCTTCAGAAGTATAAGAGATCTTAGCCCACTTCTTTAACCCTCAGTTTCCTCTTCAGTAAAACCAGTGATGTGACTGGCAGATAACTGGATTTGGGGATCTAGGTTTGGAGCCAGCCCTCCAAAACTGAAAATCAGATGCTGTCTCCCCTACATTAAAGAATTCTGGTGGCATGGTGCCTAAGGCATTTGACTGCCAACAAAAAGGTTGGTGGTTCAAACCCACCAGCTGCTCCGTGGAAGGAAGATGGGGCAATCTACTTCCATAAAGATTTGCAGAAAACCAAAGGGGGTCTCTGTGAGTCGGAGTCGACTCAGTGGCAGTAAGTTAGGTTCCCCCACTACATTATGCAGAGCTTTCATGGATTTTTTTTCTTTAGAAATGTATGAAAATTCTTACTTTGTAGTAAGGTGTTTTAAAAAAAAAGCACATGTTATTTGCAGAGCTCCATCTCATTAACATTCCAATAATTTATTCAGCAGATTTTTATTGAACACCCACTAAGTGCCAGGCATTGTACTCAAACCAAACTCACTGCCATCCATTGGCTTCCAACTCATAGTGACCCTATAGAACTTAGTAGAACTTCCCTATAGGGTTTCCAAGACTGTAAATATTTTCGGAAGCAGACTGCCTCATCATTCTCACATGGAATGGCTGGTGGATTTGAACTTTTGGTTGGCAGCCAAATGCTTTAACTATTACACCACCAGAGCTCCTTTGTCATTGTGCCCACCCCCTGCAACCCCCTTCCCCCCAAAAAATACCATCAAATGGATTCCAACCCATAGTGACTCCCATTGGGTTTCCAAGGCTATAAACCTTTATCCCAAGGCTATAAATCTTTATTTCAAGGCTATAAATCTTCATGGAAGTAGATTGCTTTATCTTCCATCCATGGAGCAGCTGGTGTATTTGAACCGCTGGCTTTCTGGTTAGCAGCCAAATGCCTTATCCACTACACCACAGGAGACTGTTGTTGTTGTTATGTGCCGTGGAGTCGACCCGACTCATAGCGACCCCTCCTTGGGTTTCCAAGGCGGTATCACTATGACAGTAGATCGCCCAACCTTCCTTCCGAGGAGTGGCTGGTGGGTTTGAACCACTAGCCTTCTGGTGAGCAGTCAAGTGCCTTAGGTACTACTCTATTGGAGCCTAGGTAGCATAAAATAGACAGGATTTATCCTTCATGGAGTTTACAGTGAACTATCCTTTGGGAGCTCTGGTGGCATAGTGCCTAAGGCACTTGACCGCTAACCAGAAGGCTGGTGGCTCAAACCCACCAGCCACACCTCCGAAGGAAGGTTGGGCAATTTACTTCCTAGAGATACCGCCTCGGAAACCCAAGGAGGGGTGACTATGAGTCAGATCTGACTCGAGGGCAGTGGTTTGGTTGGGTTGGGTTTGGTTTATCCTTTGTAGTTATTATAGCTTTTGTTAACAGCCAAAGAGATAGAGAGAACAACTACTTTGGGTTTCCCCATAGCATCTATGGCATAACCTGGACCACAGTAGCCACTTGATATTCTCAGAATTTAATTAACTTAATCATCCAGATAAAAATGTACACTGTCCTGTAAACAGGTATTTTAGTTATGCCCACAAGGTGGAGCTCTTGCTTACAGTTTGCCCAACCTGAAAGCGCGGCATTGGGCGGCTGTGGGGCGGAAATCCCGGTAGAAGTTCAACAAAAAGACAAAAATTAAATTCAATTTATTGCCTGTCTATTTAGTGTAATATACTGTTAGCTGCGTTAGGGTAATGAAGAGTTGCTAAGACCTAGTCGCTGCCCTCTAGGGAAAGATGAGGGTGCAGAGGGCTCAGGGCAGGAAGACAGTATTTTTTAAGGAATTAATACGTTTGGTGTATCCATAGGGGAGCCACAGTAATCTCGCTATCCGATGAAACCTATAAAAAGGCAGACTGTAATCACAGTGGGTTGTGGAACAGATTCAACAAGGACCCCACCTTTGGGCCAATATACATTCACCACACCAGTGAAAACACTGGAGGGTAGGTATCCTGGGGTCGTTCAGGAAGGCCCCAAAGACGGCCTTTTAATGAATCTGCCCATCCGCAAGCATCAGGACGTCTGCTCCACACCACTGGAGGATCTGACCTGTGGAGGATATGATCGATGCCAGCTGATGAGTTGGTACAGTTGAAAACCTGCCTGCGCACCTGAAGATGGGAGGGAGAAGCAAGAATAAGAACCCCGCTAAGGAAACAGACGTCAAACTCTACCTCTCAGGAGGCGGGCTCTCCCCTCCCCTGCATTCGTTTAACAAGGGTGGTGGGAATCTCGGTTCGGGTCTGGGACACACTGCTGTTGCGGAGAGGGGAGGGGGGAGAGCCGATTCTCTTCCAAGAGCTTTCCTGGCGCCGTAAACCCAAAGGTAGCGAAAAAGAGACGCCCTGCCTTCTTGCTTCTCCCAACCCTCAACCCACCCCCAACCATTTCTCCTGACACTAAACCACAAGTCAAATGCCATATGAGGGTGTGTGTTGGTTTCCTTACTTGAAAAATCAGATTTGGCAATAAAGTGGCCAAATGACAGTGAGAATGCTAGCAATTTGATTAAAGTATCGCACTTTCTTCATGGAAAATCAGTGGTCTGCGTGCCAGTAGAGACAAGTTCGAATTTCAGCTTCCCCACTTGCTAGCTCGGAGTCTTGAGCAAGCCCCAGCCCTTTCGTGTGCCTCAGTTTCCTCCAGGGCAGAACATTTCTTTAGAGAAGAGGTGTTAGGTGTCTTCCCCCACACTATAGCTCATAGCAACCTGAGAATGTAAGCTCCATGAGGACTGGTTGGGATTTCACCGCTGTGACCAGCGGCTAGGGCAGTCGCTTGGTTGAAAAAATCAACCAATGAATGGGTGCAGGCCTAGATATTCTCGGTGAACCCAAAAAAACCATTACCATCCAGCACAGCGAGATTTAATTCCCGGTGAGTTTCGTAGAAACTGCGGAGTCGCCACCCTCAAAGTTCACAAGCCTGCAGTGACCGGTGGTGGTGGAGGTCGGTTCAAAGTTGTCTGTACGAACGATTCCTCTCTCTCAGGCTGGAGTCACAGCCGTTGTGGCTCCAGGAGATTCCTGAGGACTTACATAAGGCAGCGTGAATCTCACCGGTCCGAAACCCAGAAGGCAAAGAGCCCCGCCCAGAGCCCTGCCTAGCCGAACCCGGAGCGCTGTCAGGGGCTGTCTGAAGTTCTCCCGAGGCCAGGCACCGCCCTGGCGAAAGGATCCTGCAAGCACCCACCCCCGCGAGGACTAAGGGCGCGTCTCTAAAGGCCGACCCCAGACTCGAGCTCGGCACCGCCCCCTGCGACCTCCCGCACGGGAGCGGCGGGCCCGCCTTCCATCCAGTCCCCAAGTTCCGGACCCGGAGTGGGCCACCTCTCCCGGTTGGAAAGAGCCATCGCCCCTTTAAGGGGAAGAGGAGGGGAAGGGGGCGGGCGAGCGGGGGGCGGGGAGCGGCGGCGGAGGAGGGGGAGGGGGATCCCCTCGCTCCCACGTGGTCCGGGCGCCTGTGAATCGCGCCGGCCGGAGGGTCTCACAGCGAAATACAAAAGCAGCTGGGAAGCGGCGGCGAGGCGAGTTCCCAGCGCCGGGCAGAGCGCAGGGCAGAGCCTCCCAGCGCCCCGCGGCCGCGATGGGGATGAGGCGCTTGGAACCCCGAAGCCAACAAGCTGCCGGGCCCGCCTCGCCGCCGGGACCCGGGCGCCCGGGCTCGGTTTGAAGAGGCGGCGGCACCGGCGCGACCACGGGAGCATGGGCAGGAGGATGCGGGGCGCCGCCGCCACCGCGGGGCTCTGGCTGCTGGCGCTGGGCTCTCTGGTGGCGCTGTGGGGCGGGTTCCTGCCTCCGCGGACCGAACTGCCCGCCTCTCGGCCGCCTGAAGACCGACTCCCGCGGCGCCTGGGCTGGAGCAGCGGCCCAGCGCCCGCGCCGCGCTTTCCTCTGCCCCCGCCACTGCCGCGGGACGCCCGCGGCGGCTCCCTGAAAACTTTCCGGGCGCTGCTCACCCTGGCGGCCGGCGCAGACGGCCCGTCCCAGCAGCTCCCGGACGAACGCAGGCGGCACGTGCCGGCCGAGCGGCCCAGGTCCGCCGAGAGTGCCGTAGTGCACGGGGGCGTTTTCTGGAGCCGCGGCCTGGAGGAACAGGTGCCCCGGGGCTTCTCGGAGGCCCAGGCGGCGGCGTGGTTGGAGGCAGCGCGCCGCGCCCGGGTGGTGGCCCTGGAGCGCGGGGGCTGCGGGCGTAGCTCCAACCGGCTTGCCCGCTTCGCCGACGGCACCCGCGCTTGCGTGCGCTATGGCATCAACCCCGAGCAGATCCAGGGTGAGGCCCTGTCCTACTACCTGGCACGCCTGCTGGGCCTCCAGTGCCACGTGCCGCCGCTGGCCCTGGCCCGGGTGGAGGCGCGGAGCGCACAGTGGGCGCAGGTGCAGGAGGAGCTGCGCTCAGCCCACTGGACCGAGGGCAGCGTGGTGAGCCTGACGCGCTGGCTGCCCAACCTCACCGACGTGGTAGTCCCTGCGCCCTGGCGCTCCGAGGACGGCCGTCTGCGGCCCCTGCGCGCCGCTGGGGGCGAGCTGGCCAACCGCAGCCAGGCAGAGCTGGTGGACCTGGTGCAATGGAGCGATTTGATCCTTTTTGACTACCTGACGGCCAACTTCGACCGGCTCGTCAGCAACCTTTTCAGCCTGCAGTGGGACCCGCGCGTCATGCAGCGCGCTACCAGCAACCTGCATCGCGGCCCCGGCGGGGCGCTGGTCTTTCTGGACAACGAGGCGGGTTTGGTGCACGGCTACCGGGTGGCGGGCATGTGGGACAAATATAACGAGCCGCTATTACAGTCGGTGTGCGTGTTCCGCGAGAGGACAGCGCGGCGCGTCTTGGAGCTGCACCGCGGCCGGGACGCGGCGGCCCGACTGCTGCACCTCTACCAGCGCCACGAGCCTCGCTTTCCCGAGCTGGCGGCGCTCGCCGACCCCCACGCTCAGCTGCTGCAGCGCCGCCTCGACTTCCTCGCCAAGCACATTTTGCACTGTAAGGCCAAGTACGGCCGCCGGCCGGGGACTTAATATCACCGGGAGGAAAAGAGAGAGAAAGAAACAGACCTCGGACTCGGGGATGGACGATGGGGGAAGGGCTGTCGCCCCTGAGACCTGCGGGCCAACGCCCAGCAAGTGGCCTGAGCGTGGAGGCGTCTAAAAAACTTCCGCTTCATCCACCTGCTGGTTTTTCTTAATCGCAAGTTGTTTGCTTTCAAAGTTCTGGGACGATGAACTCACCGTGAGAAGTGCACCATTCCCTCCACCCAGCCTTTGCAAAGATTCTTCCCTGTGCTAACACCGAGTTTGGGATCCTAAGAATCTGGCTGCCGGGTTTTTGCCCCCAAGTGGCGGTCTCTGTGGGAAATACGCCCCATTCCTGGGCCCCCACACTCCCCTTCCGAAAAAGGAAAACTTCCGTTGAGCTAATTCTGCAATTTCCTACCAAACGCAGCGCTGGTGGCCCTGGAGCAGGGCTGTGACATTGGCTGGTGGAGCCCCCTTCCTGTGCTCTCCCTTTGTTCCAGCGCCGCGATGGTGAGATCACTGTTAAGAGCAGAGGAACGAATGACTCCCAATAGGACAAAGAGAACAGGACCTCTAGATCCTGGGAAGCCCTGCAGGCCCTGACGTTTGCCTGACTTGTTCCTTACCCCTTGTCATTTTAGCCTGAAGGCTACTGAGGGCAAGACCAGCTAAATGCACTGAATGAAATAATGATTTTTTTTTTCTCCCCTAACCGACCAAAATACTGACAATGATGATGTTCACCAGAAAAAAATCCGGTTCATGCACTTTACTTTGTTTTTATTTTAATTTTTATTAAGAAAAACTTTTTTATTTGACAGAATTTGCCTTCTATGTATATATGTGCATAAAATGTGGTGTAAATATACTAAACAAACTTATATTTCAATAAAAGGGAGTTTAAAATTTAGACTATCCTTCCTGTGCTTTTACCCATTTGAGCTGTCAGATGGCTCATCTGCTTGCAGACTAAGCTATAAGGCACTCTTCTCCGTGGATGTGTTTTAAAACAAAGGGCGCATATCCGTCCCAGTTGTGACTACAGAACTTAGAGAACTGAACAAAGACAAGAGCAGATTTCCTGTCCTCAATTCATAGTTCATCCTAGAATGTAGGGAAAGAGATGAGGGGGTGAGTACTCTATTTTCTGGCAAATAAAACTTTGATGTTAAAGGATTCGCTAGAATATATTTCTATATTAATCATTTGGCAAATAGGATAGAACCAGATGTGCAGACTAAAAAATGACAAATACCCCCTTTTAAAACTTAACTGCAGTGGTCACATGTTGCACGTTATTTTCAGCATTGTAATTACAGTACATCCGAATGTGTGCAGATAATAAGCTGAGCACATGTTGCAAACAGGTAGAGAAAGTCATAAATTAATTCTTCTCTTTAATCTCCTAGCATAAATTCCATTGCATCCAGGAGATCATAATCTCCAACATCTGGACTTCGCCAGCCTCTGAAGAGGTTGTACAGTAAGTACTGTGTTTGCTGGGTACTAATTACATAGTCTCCTCAGTAACCATTGTGAGGCCAGAAAAATGAGCTGGACTTTGTGTACGGCACTTAGACCCTTACTTCCTGGAGATTTCACACATAGAAAATATTTTTGGATTTGCTCATTCTTTTTTGACCCCAGTGGGGTGGGGTTGGTTTTTAGTGTTTGTTTTACAGCCCATTGGTGTTTTATTTTGGCATTTTATTTGGTGTCTGGGCCCAAGAAATCTTGCCTATTATCTTCTTTTCATTTAATGACCTTGAACTTGAAGCAAGTTTTGGTCACAACTTTAATAGCTTTTCATTTGACTTGCATTTATAAACCTAGGGTTTTATAGGCTCATGAAAATATTGAATCTCTGTGGGTTCCCCTTCTCACTCTGCATTACAACATCGTGTATAATTTAACTATTTCATGCTATTCTTACATTTTCAGTGCCTATGCTAAGCCAAATTATTTCTCAGCTGAAAACATGCAGTCCATAAATAGTTTGAGGGACCAGTCTCTGGAGAAGGATGTCATGCTTGGTAAAGTGGAGGGTCAACAAAAAGAGAGGAAGGCCCTCAATAGGATGGATTGACAGTGGCTGCAGTGACGGGCTCAGGTATATTAGGAATTGTGAGGCTAGCTCTGGACCGGACAGTGTTTCGTTATGTTGTGCATAAGGTCGCTATGAGTCGGAGACAACTCGACGGCACATAACAACAACAACAAATAAACTCTTTGTGGTGGAAGCCAATTTTTTTTTCATAATGCAGCCACAAAATGTACTGATCATGGCAGCTGCATCTTTTTTTTTTTTTTTTTGCCAGACACTGTTATTATTGTGAGACCTCTGATAATTACACCTGCCAAAAAGAAACATTTTCCATTGCTGATGGTTAATAGCTGTAAGATTTGATGCCTAAGTTAACAGAGGTGGCTCCTAGATAGGATAAAAATTCATCAACCTGCATTTTTACCCGATATGTTCATTGAGGAAGTTGCACAGATTATGTAGGAAATATGCCCTGACTCCTTATAGCTTCAGCACTGGTGAGTGTGGGCCAACAACATTCTCTACATACCTTCTCAACTTCAGTTCCAAGCCCAGACTTGACCATGATAAACCCAGACTAAAGTAACTGAACCCATTTTAAATAGTTCTTCTCAGATTCTTTCGTGAACCAGATCTGCCCGTTTGAAAAGTAAGTTTAATTACATGGTGGAGTTGTTGAGGGAACCAAGACGTAATTACAAAGAAAGGGTTTTAACTGTTGCTATTCTTCACGGATAAGCAGTAGGCTGTGGCATGGAAAGATCAATTAAGTTTTGCCATGGTCAATGAATGCTGCCAGAGCCAACTCATTTTTTCAGATGAAAAATAAGAACTTTCAGGCTGCAAGGTGATGGGGTGGAAAGAGCAATGGGTTCTGCAGTCAGACTCCATTCTGAATCTGTCCCCCACTTATTTACCTTTAATAGGTCTTTTCACTTCATTTCCTTACTGTGAAATGTAGATTTGGTTATTGAGTATTGTGGGGTTTAAGTGTTAACATACTCAACATATCAGGTGCCACTGAGTATGTTGTTGTTATGTGCCATCGAGTCGGACCCGACTCATAGCAACCCCTCCTTGGGTTTCCAAGGCAGTATCACTACGGAAGTAGATTGCCCAACTTTCCTTCCGAGGAGTGGCTGGTGGGAATAGGTACATAATAAAAATCAAACCTGTTGCACAAAGTCGGTTCTGACTCATAGCAACCGTGAAGGACAGAGTAGAACTCCTGGACAGGGTTTCCAAAACTGTGACATTTATGGAAGGAGACTGCCACATCTTTCTCCAGTGGTGCAGCTGGCTGGTGGTTGGTTCAAACGGCTGACCTTCCAGCACCATCTGGGCAGCTCCTCAGGCACATAATTGGTCCTCAAAAAAAAAAAAACCTCACTTTCTAGATCTCTAAGAAATTCTTCCTCTTCATGCACTTGAGGAAACTTATTTTCAGCATTAAAACCAAATTGAGCTGTTTCCAAGGTCAGGTTCAGTTTTGGGCACATGATAATTAATTCAACCAATTGTTTATTGAGGGCTCTCTTCAGGCACAGGTTTGATCTCCACATGGGTTTGAGTGGATAGTTCTAGGACTCAAGCAGAGCTCTCGCACCAAGTCAGCTATTTAACAAAATTTTTTTTTAAAATAAAAGTTACCATGGAGGGCACTCTGACTCTCATGGTGACCCCATGCTTGTCAATAGAAGTGTGCTCCATAGGGTTCTCAAGGGCTGAGTTTTCAGAAACAGATTGCCAGACCTTTCTTCTGAGGTGCCTCTGGGTAGATTCAGACCCCCATTGTTTGAAATAGCAGCCGAGTGTGTTAACCGTTTGCACCAGCCAGGTAATCCAAGACAGCTCTACTACAAATATATGAGAGTGAGGTTAAAAAAATTAAAGATGGCTCATTGCAAATCCATCACCACTTCTGGAAAGCATCAAAATGTGATGAATCTTTGCAAGAACAATCCTCCCCCGAATTCCTTCTGTCAAGACAAAGTAGGCAGTTGACCTTTTCTCTCTGGAGTTGACTGTTAATTAATTCACCTTATCAATGACATAGTTCTAAACTCTGTTAAGAGTACTTGCCCTTCTATCTTCAAATGAGGGGGTAAAAAATTAATACATCTTAACACTTCTCCACCTTCTGCCTAGACTGCTGCTAGGAGAGTCCTTTAAAGGCCTAGAGGTTGATTATATGGATTAAATGAGTAAATATTTGTAATATTCTCAGAATAGTGTCTGGCATATAGTAAGTGCAATGTGTTTGTTTATTGGTGGAGTAGATAATTTTCTTCTCTAAGTCAAGATCAGAGACACCTGGAATCCTAGGCAGACCCCCCTTTCATAATGCTGTTCTCTGTGATAATATCACACATTCCACGTGCTTCTGTTTTGGCTCAGAAGGCCCAGCTAGAGTGCAAGAGTCTGGGGTGAGCTACCTAAAGCCTACAGCCATCAGCTAATCATCTTGTTTCTGAGAAGTCCCTCTATGAGTCGTCTTGCACTCCCTCCTTTTTCATAAGGAGGCTCTGGTCTATTTCTTGTGCTCCAGGGAGCCAGGAGCTGTGGAATTTTGCATCTTCTGAGCTGCCCAATAGTCATGGATCATACAAACTGGGCACTGGTCATTTGACCCTCCATGCAGTATCACTATGGAATCACTGATCCAATATGGTATGAGGAAGAGAAAGGGAGTCTGTTGATCAAGAAGCACAGGCAGTGCTCCAGAAGTACTAGAACGCCAGCCACCAAGGCAAGAAGGAAACCAAGTCCAAGCTTGACACTCATCCCCAAGCACATGACCATCATTAGCGTCTAATGGAAATGATACTGGGAGTCAGGAGACCTCTGCTGCTTCTGAGTCACTGGGTGACCTGGAAAAATCATCTCGCCTCTCTAGCTCTGGTTGGCTCCGGTTATCTTACCTGGAGCAGGGTTGTATTTCATTAGATTGGTAACTTCCAGCCTTTTTTTCCCCCCCCTAACGAGAACTCAGAGTAAGAAACACAGTTTACATTGTGACCCAGCATGTCTATACATACATTCATACCACCACAATAAAAAGTTTCACAAAACAGTATGTGCAACACACTTTTTCCTGTTCCATTCAATTCTATTTCTAGTCATCCTCTCATCTACGTTCTGATCCTAGTTGTGACTCTCTAATCTGATTTCATAATTCATCAGTGGGTCACAGGCTGCTATGTGAAAAAAACAGGATTAGATGATTGTAAAGTTCTCTTCCAGCTCTAAGATCCCAGGGAAATTCCATTTATAACCAGTTACCACCTATCATTTTCCCCCAAAAGAGAATACAAATAGAATTCAGTTTCACGTACTCCAAAAACAAAAGACTCAAGTACTTTATTTCAAAATGTAATTGGGAGAATTGCTCAAAATCTTACATAAGGTCTTTTTATACTGTTTAAATCCCCTAAAAGTGAGAAGCAACTTTCAGTCTGTGCCAACTATGTGCAAGCAAATAGTGCTATTGGAGAGCTTTGGAGGAAAAAAAAAACCTTTGTATTGTTGCCTCAACATGCCCCAAGGACGACTCAAGAGGACAGTTTATTTTCTGTGTATTCATAAAGATCAGATGTAAGAGTCATAATTTTTTAATGTGACTGTTTTACCAGTTTCTCTTTCTGTGTCCCGCTGTGGGGGAAACTGCATTAATAAACTATGTCTCAGTGCTGCCTGGCTAGAATTTTTTTCTCTGCAGGACTCCACCAAATATAGCTAAACAAATGCTCATTTTATTTATCTTTTCAACTTCCTTCCCATTTTGGGTATGTCTTCTTGACACTTTTGAAATTTATCTCTTAATGACACCTTAATTTTTTTTTTAGAAGAATAGAGACCTAATTGTT